GCTCTTATGAGCGAGATTCTGAAAGTGCAGGTGGGTTTAGGGTTTTATTGTGATTGCGTGTCGTCGAGTCGGGGTGCAGGCCAGCGGGGCGCAGCGTTGGCAAGCGGGGCGGAGCGCAGTGGGGTGGGCCGCCGAAACGTGGGGCAGTGCCAAATATCAAGCTTTATCCGCGGAGCCGGGCACACACGCGCGCGGCTGTCGGTGGGTTTTGGGGCTGCGCGGCCGCCGCAAGCGCCCGGCGGATACCGGGTTTCGGCCCGGGCGGCTGGCTGGAGGCACGCCTTGGCGAGCGCCAATGTCTGCGGCTTGCTTCCAGCCAGCCCCCGCAGCTCCTTCCCTCGAGCCGATCTGTGTTCCCTCCCCTTTCCCCTTCCCCTCCACCCGCCTCCCCCCTGAGAAGGAATTGTACACCTAGCTCGCCTTAACCATCCCATGCATGCCCTTTCCTCAACATCTGTTTCAAATCGCCCCCCCCCCCACCGCCCCCCAGGATTCCATCCCGATCTGCGCGGCCCAGATCTCCCAGATCATGGCCCTCGCCGCCCTGGAGGGCGACGGCGGCGGCGGCGGCAGCGGCAGCGGCGGCGGCTCTGCACATCAAAGCAGCGGCCGAGCGCACAGTAGCGGCGACAGCGGCGCAGCAAACGGAGCGGCAAACGGCGTGAAGGCGGCGGCGGGCGGGGACGAGAATCCTGATGATGAGTCGCGCGTGCAGGAGCTGACCGGGCGCGCGTACGTGTCGGCGCGCGTGTCGCAGCTTGCCGCCGCCAACCGGCCGGCGGTGAGGGGTGCCTTGGAGGCGGCGCTTGGCCCCGACCGGGTGAAGGGGGGGGAGGGGGCGATCTACTTTTTTGCGCAGCTGCCCGAAGAGTTCGAATTGAGGGATGAGGACGTGGTCAGGTGGGCGCGACGCCGCACGATCTGCTCTGATCTGATCTGATGAGGAATGCTTGGGCGGGTTTGAAAATGCGGATTTGAAAAAGCTGCGCGTGGTGCCTGCGGCTGCCGCTGGACTGTCGATGATGTGATACGGCGCTCTGCCAGCTGCGCGGGCTGACTGGGGATCTGGCTCTGTCGGCCTCGGACTGTGTCACGGCCGACTGCTCAGCTGCCCTGTTGTTTGCAGGCGTCTGCTGCAGAGGGCGAGTGTTTCGAGCGCGCCGAAATTCACAAGCGCTCTGACCCATCGCCGCTTAATATCACGCGGGTCCCTGCCCCGCACGTCGTCCAATGATAATTACAACTCTCCCCCTCCCCCTCTCACCGTCCCCCCCTCGCTCCCCCCACCATCTTCACACTCCTCACCCTCCCCCCCAAATGCCATCATTACGCATTGCCCAGGTGGCTGGTGAAGCGTGCCGGCGTGTGCGTGGTCCCAGGCTCCGCCTGCCAGGCGCCCGGCTGGCTGCGCGTCGGCTTCGCCAACCTGACCCCCGCCAAGTGCGGCGACGCGGCTGCGCGGCTGCGGGACGGACTGCGGGAGCTGGTGCAGAGGGGGCTCGCGGCGCTGGACGAGGACCTGTGATCTGGCGTCTGATCTAATGTGACCTGATCAAGCGTTCTGAGATTTAACATCAGGTTTCAGATCATGGTCAATCACCCACGTGAACAACCCCGCAACTCTTCCGCCGCTGCGCTCCGCCCCAATCGCCGCCCGTTCCTCTTCCGCCAGCGGCGCCCCCCCTCGCGCGGGCGCCCGTGCCAGCCCTGGCCACTCCAAGCCGGCAGGCGCTTGGGTGCCATGTACGTTCTTCCTCGCGCCCCCGTGTCATCAAACCCTCCCCACTGCTGCTTTGTTTGGCTGCTTGCTCCCTTTTCCGGGCGCCCTTCGCACCCTTTGAAAAGTTTTGCTTGCTTGCCGCAGCTTGCGAGGTGCGCCCAAATGTGCCAACCCACTTCGCATGGCGTCGCTGCGTCGGCGTGCCCTGCAGACATGGTGGTGCCGAATCCCTCCATTGTACAGGCTCCCTCGGGCCAGCGCCTGGCCCCTTGCCCGCCGCCCAGCCCCCAGCGTCGATGGCCCCTTCTGGCCCTCCTCTGGGCACCTCAGGGCAGCTAAGCTGCCCCCTCATGCAAAGCGCGTGCGCAGCATGCTGCGCTCAGCAGGGACGTTGGGAGAGCTGGTTTGCCTTGGGAGTCGGCTTGTGCCGGGGCTGCGTGTCGGCCCGCTGCGTTTTGTCTCAACGCTAAGCCAACCCACTTTTTCGGTGCCGGCCTTTTGTTGGTGATCTTCCATGCACATGCAGGGACGCTTGGCTGTAACAAGGCTTTTCAAGCCAGGGTCCTAGCTGCGGTGGGGGGCCTGGGTGCATCACAGCCCAGCCGGCCGCGACGCGTTGCCGCTGCTTGGCCGTGAGCCACGTGGATGAGGGAGGGAGGAGCGTCCAATTCACCGTTTGTGGGAGAGACGTATGTTGGCTGGAAGTTCTCGTGAGAAAACCTCTATCAAATACCATACGTGCCATGGATAGAGTGCCGGAAGCACCAAACGCCGTTCTAGGGTGCCGAACCAAAGTTGTAAACCGTCCAACAGCTACAGCTCTTTGGCAGCGGGCGGAATGATGAGCTGCAGACATGATATTAAGACTCGTGATATTACAAATACGTTCGTGCGATTGCGTCATTCTCTCATCACTGAGAGTGATCTTCGCGACGTCTCCCACCCGCAGCCACCGAACGACTAAGGCAATTACACGAGATACGATTGTGTCATCTAGTAGGTTTTACTTCACGAGTCACCGTATGAGGCCGCAGCTCTCACCTCTGGCGGCGCTGCTCGTGCTCATGGTGGTGCTGCCAATGGGCGCCGCTGGCGCAGACATACCGCAGCCTGCAGCGGGCCTGCAGCCGCCGGCGGACCCCTGCAGCTGCTCCTTCCAAAACGGCATGTGGCAATTTACAGACCGCGTGGGCAGCAACTGGGTGTCGGTGCCCGGCCCGGGCGCCTGCCAGCTGCAAAACCTGGTGGATGGTCGAACGCGCATAACACCGCCGCAGGCGACGGCGGCGGCGGCAGCGGCAGACGCAGGGGCAGCAGGTACCGCTGCGGCCACAGGCATCAGCGCGGACGCTGGAGCGGGCGCGGCGGCGCTGGGCGGCGGCGCGGATGCGACGGGGGCGCCGCTGGATGTCCTTTTCTTTGGAGACAGCATCGATGTGAGATTTGCTGGCACGTGAGATTGCTGGGGTTTATACATGAGAAATGCAGGGGAGGGCACCCAGCTTGTGACGTCATACATGGCTCGCAGCAGCAGGTTGGAGGCAGCAGGGACTGCTCAGGGGCAAGAAACGCAGGCAGCGTCGCAAATAGGCCGCCCAGCGTGAGGATTATGGCTGTGGGCGAGTGGTGGCGGCTCCCTCCTCAAACAGAAAGAAATATGACTGCAAGTTGTGTACGTTGTATTAACAATCACAGGCGTCGTTTCTGGAGTACTACTGCGACCTGCTGCAGCAGCGCCATCCCGGCGCCGCCGTGGAGCGCACCGACGGCCACACCATCCACCGCCTGCGCGCCGGCCTCAATAGATGCGTCGCGCCGGGCGCGGGCCTGCGCGTCTGGCACAAATGGTGCGCGGTTGCGAGCTGCCCCTTCAAGAAGTCTTAAGACCCATGGACACAGGCCCTTCAAACCACACCCTTTCAAAGAGATATCACATCCTCAGGGCCTGCTGTGGTTTGCAGCAACAGTATTCCCACCAGATCCCCGTGATGTGGCTTGCTGCTTCCCCTGCCGTGTTCTCGCCCTAAACACTGCCTAAATCCTGGCCGCCGTGTGGCAATCAACCACTGGAAAACAACACAAAACCAGGCACTTTGGCGTCCACGGAAACGGCCCCTTTTTTGAGGATCGGCAGGGCAACGCAGAGCACCACCTCCGCCAGGCCAAGGCGGCGGTGCCAGGGGGGTCGCCCCACATCCTCGTGATTGGGTCTGGGCTCTGGGACGGCGCGAGGCTGGTCAGCAAGGTCAATCGCAGCGCGGCGCCGGCGGTGCTGCCGCGGGAGTGGGTGGAGGGCTACCAGGCGAACTTCACGGTGAGAAGTTTTGGAGGACCCCTTGTCCTGCAAGTAGGGTCAGACGGCAAAACACCTTGATTCGGGAGCCTGCACATTGAAGTCTTGCTGCGGAGAGGCGGGGGCGCAAAGCCATTGCACCATCTCGTGGACTCTGGGTTTCCGCATCACTTGGCCGAAACATGTGTTGCACTAGTTGCGCACCGAAACCCTATACCCTAGCGCCGCCTGCAGCAACAAACGCAGCGCCCCCCTCACCTGCGTACATGCAGAGGATGGTGGGCCTGGCAAGGTCCTTGTTCCCGGACTCTTTTGTAGTCGCCCACACCGCGCCGCGCGTGCGCCACGACGACCACGGCCGCGCAGTCGCGACGTTCATCGGCCACCAGGTGCGTCGTGGGCACGCGCCGTTGCCTCTATATCCTTAGCAGCACGAGCCGCACGCACCCAAAGCCTACTCAAACCAAGGTCTTGCTGCTCTCCTACCAGTCACCCTGGCCTCCACGACACCTAGCTTGAACTGCCCGGTTCTCCATGCATGTCGGGCCCAGTCTGTGGCTTTGGGCCCTGTTGCTTGCTTTTCACCCTCTTCTCGCTCGCGGGCAAAACCTCCCCTTTCTTAGCTTTCTACCCCCACAAGCTGCACCACACCACACCACGCACCCCGCTCCCTCAAACCACTGTCCCCCCCCCCCCCACCCGGTTACCACGCCTGGGCCCAGGCGTGGTACAGCCAGATGAATGCTGCGCTGCGCCAGGTGGCGCCCTCGCTGCAGCTGCCCCTGGTCGACTTTGAGCTGATGGCGTCGCCCCTTGGGTTCAGCACGTACCTCAAGGTGGGCCAGTGACACTCCAGGCCTGGTCTGCCCGACACTGGCAATGCACTGCACGAACCTGCTTCTGACCAATGCAACAGGAAGAATGCACCTCGAGGCTTGTGTGGCCTCGTTTCTAGTCCAGTACTGCTGCCGTATTGACGGCGCGTCTGTTGGGATGCCTGGGTTTGAAAGCCCCAGGTGCTAGGATGCCACTGCAATGCAAACAAAGCCATGATTCCCACCAAGTTCCTGTTTTGGGGGCAACGGCGCTGCGTGAATGAATGATTTTGCATGCGCTGCACCAACATCTCTCCCACTGCGCCGACAGGACAAGGTGCACCCCAATGCTGTGTTCATGCTGGAGGCACTGAATGTGATCCTGAATCTGCACCAGCAGCATCAAGCGTGCGGAAGGAACAGCGGCAGCAGCAGCAGCAGCAGCAGCAGCAGCAGCAGCAGCAGCAGCAGCAGCAGCAGCAGCAGCAGCAGCGGCAGCAGCGGCAGCAGCGGAAGTCCCTTGATAGCAGGGTTTGACGCCGGCGCGGCGTATTCGGGGCTGGCTGAGTCAGCAGCATCGGCGTCGGCTGCAGCTGCAGCACCGCCGCCGTCCTTGAGGCGCAGGAGCCACAGGAGCCTCCTGATCTGATCTGCACCGGTTTCATGCACAACAGACCCGATGTGCGGCCTTAGGGTAACATGCTTCCCGCTCCACACGCTTTGCTCACACAATCAACAAAGGTGTCAAAGGCAGAAAGTTTGGCTGTTGTACTTTTTTATGCCCAAATCCAAGACTGCCAAATGACAGCTACAATGTGCTGTGACCATTCTGTCAGACATGCAAGCGTGCAGCAGCAGCAGCAGCAGCAGCAGCAGCAGCAGCAGCAGCAGCAGCAGCAGCAGCACATGCATGAGGACCAGCAACGACACCACCTGGATTTTCAACAACACAACTCTGCTCCTGCGCCCGTGCACTGGCACCACTCAGATGAAAGCACGTCGTGCTGACTGTTGCTTTGATGTTTATCGGCTACAAGCATGCAGGTGGCGACAGCGTGGTGCTGGCAGTCGGCGGTTTGATTGCTGTTTTTGTATGAATTACCTGGATGGAATGTTGATATGCACACTTTCTGGTGGCTATTGCAGCAGCACCGGAGCACAGGGCATCGCTGTTCACCGGGCGTTGCTGACATCTGTTGTTTGACACCACTCAGCCCACATATGCAGCCCTGCCTGGGATTGCATCCCGCCGGCTTCAGGCGAGCCTCAAGGTTGGCGAGTCAGGGTTACCTTGGCGCAGTCAGAGCCCACAGTGGCCCCTACATCCCTGCAACACAGAAACAGCGCCGTGCCCCCTGGAGGCGCTGCACATCTGGGCCGCACGCCTACTCGCCCCCGCGCAGCCGCTTTCGTGTGGAGGCCGGGGACCCCTCGCCCCGCATCCGCCGCAGCCGCTCCGCCTCATTGTCAGCCAAGGCTCGCAGCCGCCGCAGGCGCTCCCACTCTTCCGCCAGCGCCGCCCGCAGGCGCACCTCCTCCGCGTTGACCCCAGCCGCGGCCGGGCCCAGCGGCCACCCCTCCTCCAGGCGCGCGCCCTCTCCGATCTCGCGGCCCAGCCGCGCCGTGTGCTTGTTCATCGCATCGTGCACCAGCGCCACGAGGGACCTCTCCCGCGCCTCCGCCGCATCCGCCGCTGCTGTCGCCCGCTGCAGCCGCTGAGCCTGGGCAGCGGCCAAGCGCTCGGCCTCGGCACGCTCGGCGTCAAAGCGGGCCCTGCTGGCGTCGAGGCGCCTCATCTCTGCCGCCGCGCCCGTAATGAGCGCCGCCATGCCCAGTGGCAGCGCGCGCCGCTCCTCCTCGAGCGCGCGCCGCGTCTCCTCAAACGCCTTGTGCGCGGTGCTGATGCATGCGCTGTTGTGGCGGGCGATCATGATCACCGCCTCGACATCCCGGCAGGCGGCCGCGAGGTGCAGCGGCTGCAGCCCATTGTTGTCCTGCGCACCCACGTCGGCGCCGCAGCTCAGAAGCGTCTCCAGAAGCTCACAGTTTTCCACCTCGGCTGCAAAGTGCAGCACCGTTCGGCCGCCGTGCGTGGTTGCCTCCAAGGAGGCGCCGCGGTCCAGCAGCATGACGGCAATGTTGACTTGGTCTTCAAAGTCCTCAGCTGCAACGGCGTGGTGGAGCGCCTGCAGGCCCTCTGCGTCGGCGGCATCGACCAGGGCGCCGGCGTCCAGAAGAACTTGGAGGCTCATTTGGCAGCCAATCTTTGCCGCCATGTGAAGCGGGACCCTCCCACCGGTGGCGGGCGCGTTGACGTCGGCGCCACGCTGCAGCAGGACGAGCAGCGCCTCGTGGCAGGCGCCCGATGCTGCACGATGGACCGCGGTCCAGCCGTTCTTGTCGGTAGCGTTGGGCGCCGCTCCGGCGTCAAGAAGCGCATGCAGCATTTCTGTCAGCCCGTTTTCGGCTGCCAGGTGCAGGGCGGTCGTCCCATCCGCCTTCGCGGCGTCCGCCTGCGCGCCTCGCGCGAGCAGCAGAGACAGGATTGCCTTGGCGTCAAAGGAGGCGGCCTCATGGAGCGCCTGCTGGCCGGAGGCATCTGCGGCCGAGGCATCCGCGCCGCCGTCGAGGAGCACAATGGCCGCATCCAGATGCTTGTTCATGGCAGCCAGCTGTAAGGGACGGAGGCCCGGTGCAGCTGCTGCAGGAACGGCGAAATCATAACCGGCGAGATTTAGGGCGGTGCCTGCAACCACAGTGGCGGCGTTGGGGTCGGCCCCGCGGCTGAGCAGCACGCGCAGGGCGTCTGACCGCCCGTGGGCAGCGGCGTGGTGGACCGCCTGCCAGCTGTGCACGTCGGCTTCATCAATGGACGCGCCGCGGTCCAGCAGGGCGGCGACCATGGGGGCACACCCCGGCTCGCAGCGCATCACTTCCACCAGGGCGCGCTGCCCGTTGGGACCCTTGGCGTCGATCTGCACCCCTGCGTCCAGCAGCAGCTGCACCAGGGCAACGTTGCCAGAGGCCGCCGCGAAGCACATCGCGCTGCCGGCGGCAGGGTCGTTGGGCGCAAAGCGTGCGCCGCGCTGCAGCAGGAGGCGCAAGACGGCAGCATTTTTTGCTGCAAGCGGCAGCGCCAGCTGTCCGCAGGCGCCGGCGGCCGATGCGCCATGCTCCAGCAGCAATTGCATGGTTGCCACATGGCCGTTGGTGGCCGCCAGCTGCAGCGGCTGTTGGTCAGGACTGGTGGCGGTGCTGGCGCATGCGCCGCATTCCAGCAGGGTGCGCGCCACATCAGTGTGGCCCCCTCGCGCCGCATAATGGAGAGCGCTGTAGCCGTTGGACGTGCATGCGTTGATGTCTGCGCCGCGCTGGATCAAGAGCATGACAGTTGCAGCCTGCCCGTGCGCTGCTGCCCAGTGCAGGGCTGTGCGCGGCACAGCGCTGTTGAGTGGGGCGTCCCCGCCCATGGCAACGGCCTGCGCCCTGTGTACATCCAGCAGGCGCCGCACTCCATCCACATCTCCGGACACGATCAACGCCTTCAATTGATCCCAATCGCCGATCTCAGGCTCAGGGCACTGCGTCGGGGCTCGAACCATTTGAAGTGACAGGCGGGCCGCTTTCTGCGATCGGCAAAGTTTTACTTGTGGCATGATTTTACTTGGGGCATGAAGTCACGAGTTGCGATCCGTCACAGGCATTGCTCATGTTCTAGTAATAGCAGCACCATGAAGGCCAGCAGGCAGGAGGTCCAGCATGGTCGTGATGAGTCACCAGGGTGCAGCAGCACCTGGGCTAGTATCGGTCAAACAGGCGTGCTTGCTCGACATGGGGCGGTTATTTGTTGAAGCATATGCCTTGCCCATGCACACGCGCTTGCCGATACAGCATCAGTGTTTAAGAGGCAGGTGCGCGGCATGCCCACAACCCATGCAACACTCACACGCCTGTCGCAGAGCATGGCGTGTGAGCTGACTGCCAAGGGTGTCATGTGCGGATGTCTGCTTTGCAGCCGATGTTGGAAAGGCCATTACCGGGTTCATGTTGAGCACGTCATCAGCGTGACCATGCAAGCAACCTGCACAGCTTGTTGCCGGGAAGAACTGTCACTTCCTGGGGCGGGACCCAAAGGCGCGCAGACTCCAACGCAGCGAACGCATCACAGCTCAGCGCGAGCCGCGCCCGACGCGGCGCCGCCTGCCGTAGCGGCAGCAGAAGGCACGGCGGG